CCCCCCCCCCCCCTCATCCCTAGGTGATGTGCTAGCCTGGTCCGGTGAAAACCCGGCGTGCCCCGTCCACGATGTGTAGGGATGCGAGGCCAGTGGACTAACGACTATGGCTTGCACAGAACAAACATACACCCCTAGCAGAGCGAGAAACGATCCATCCTGTGACAAGCGTGCCGCAGCAGCGCGCGAGGCTGGCAAGCTTAACGTGGGCGGCTACTTGGAAGGCACGGCCTGCTCTGATAAAAAGGGTCGAACGCTTGAGTGATTGTCCCTGGAGAATGGGGGCGAAGATTTCAGTGGTGCCGCCTGACTCCAGGACCAGGCCTTGATGCGTAGAAGATGAGAATGAGGGAGGGAGGTGGAGAGAGGAAGAGAGAGAAGAAAAGAGAGGGAGAAAGAGAGAAGAGAGAAAGAGAGGGAGAGATAGAGAGGGATAGAGAGGGAAAGAGAGGGAGATGGTAAGCGGAGATGCAGAGGGAGATGTAGAGAGAGCTAGATAGATGGAGGAATTCGTTGGTGATCTCTACATCTAGAGCATTGAGCACAACAAAATTCGAGTGGTTCATTAGGGTGCCCCCCAGAACAAGTGTACCGAGCAATGTTGACGGACAGTCTGACAGCCTAGTGGAGAAAACCACAGCATATATACAATTCCCCTTGCACTGCTGCTATTTACCACTTGATTCGCCGTTCGCCGTCGTTGCGGCGGTTGGACTATGACGACAACAGGCCAGAGTGCGAGGGTACCCTGCGGGCGGTGTTTCGCTACGTGGTACAGAGCTTTTTTCAGGAGGAGATGGTGTCCGAGGACTGCCTGGAGCGGTGGATACAGCTGCGAAGGTGGGGTGATTCTTAGCATTAACCAAGTTTTGCTCGTTTCTGTTTTGTGGTCGCGGGCAACGCTACCGTGGTTGTGTTTTTTTTTGTTCTGGAGCAAGCGTCCTTTTCTGTTGTGAGAGGGACGGGGGCCGGGGGTAGGTAGAGCGTTGTCTGACCGCCTTCGGCCTTGGAAACCCATTGACCGCCTCTTGGTCGTCTGTCTGTCTGTCTGTCTGTCTCTCGTGCTGTTTGTGTTGCGCCTGTCGTACGAGGCAGCCTTGTTGCGGTTATAGCGATAGGTGTTGCAACTGTTGGGCAACAGGATGCAGTTGTTGAGCATGATAAAGCTTCGGTGCCGGTTGCATGTCGTGTGGGGTTCAGGACGTACAACATCGTGTTGTCATTCATGCCAGCGTTTGTTGCGGGTTCGAAGACGATGCCGGGAGGAGAGGCTACAACTACCGCCGGCAAATTGTAGTGCTGCGTGCACCAACCGTGGAGATAGAAAGAGGTGGTCTCTCGCTGATTTTTTCACACTGTCGACGGTTGAAAACTACACGTCATTGGCTTGTTTCCTCCACTTGTGTACGTCACGCAGTGTCAATAGTGCCCTTGTACCCTCGCGTCGTGTTCGTTTTTTGTTTGTCAAAGAAATCTTAAGCGAATGTTATGTACGCGCTTTCCTTGACTTGGAACTTGGTTTCGTGTTCGTTTTTGTTTTGTCAAAGAAACCTTAGAGAATGTTATGTATGCGCTGTCCTTGGCTTGGTTTCGTACTCTTGTAGTAATCTTCTCCCTCCCCCATGCCGTGTATCCTGTTCTTTCTCATTTGGCCCTGTTCGCTGATGGTTATTCTCGAGAGGTTGGCTACGCTGTGTCGTTCCGGATTCATGTTGCATTGTCCTTGCGGCCTCATTCCCCCCCCCAACTACGTCCACTACTACTACTTCAGGGCGACGCCGCAGGGATCGCCGGAGAGGGGCTTGTTCGAGCAGAAGGAGGTGCAGGCTTTCGTGGCCTGGCTAGAAGACAGCGAGTCGTCGTCGGGAGAGGAGGATGGCGATAGCGACGACGAAGAGTCCACCGAGGAGGACGAGTAGGGCTGAGGCCAAATAGGCCTTGCCTTGTTTTCAGGATCTCCCTCATTAATTGTAGCGAATATCTCCTGCTTGAGTGAATCGCTGGAACGCAGCAAAAAGGAGGGGGAGGACTCGGGCGAGCCCCACGCGTTTAATCGAGACGTGATTGTTTTTTTCCCCTCCTCGAGACGCATGCCCACGTGGTGTAACGTTAGCTGTTTGTTGTGTAGCAGACCAAAAGAGGAGGCTTTTGTTGGCGGAATAATTGATTGCGTTGCGATGGACCGGAGACGGGGCGGATTGCCTGTCTTGCTTCTGCCATGGAGATATGCGATGATAATAGTGGTGACATTGAGTAGACTTGGATGCACTGCGTTTGACTCTCTCGTTCGTGTATCTCTCTTGCGAACCCTGTAGATATATCGGACACATGAGAGATGAGATGGTACGTGGGTGGTCGCGCGGGGAACGCTCCCTAAAACAACGGTGGCAGGTATCTCGGTGTATCTGATGGCGCGGGCATGTCTTGGCAAGAGTTTAGGAGTCTTGCATAGATGACGAGTTAACTATTTTCTCGATTAATTTCAAGGCATGTTGAAGGAATGTATCGGAGCACATCATCAATGCCATTCGAAAAGCCGGCGGCCGCAGCACCGGCAAATTGCCCAACCCGTCGGCATTTTCGATTTTCGACTGTCGATGGAACATGCCAGTCCATCACCCCCACGTGGTCGCTTGGTTTCGCGATTCCAAACCTCTATTGACCGATCACGACAATCCAAACCTCCTCGCTTTTTCGAGTCGTTCCCGGACTGTTCGAAAAGCCTCAGCTCTGTGGGCCGCGTACCAGACCCAACCAGACGAAGACCGAGAGGCGTCGTCATCGCTCTACAGTGCAGGCATGCAGATAGCCCCGGAACGAACATCCGCCCGCCACGCCTCGAAAATCCACAAGCAAGAAAACCAGCTGAGGAGACAAACAGGGAAGACAAAGAGGTTCGCAAAACGTTCCCGAAGAACCACGAACGGTTTCCAGACCCCAGACCCCCAAAGAACCTGCGGAACGCGGAACGGCGATGTTCTCATCTTCAAGAAGAGGTTACGCCGCCTCTGCCACTCGCCCTCGCCCTCTCGCCCCCACCTCCTCACACAACTATGGACAGCGTCAAGAATAACGACAACATAAACAACACCATGAACTGCAAGGCGACGGAGAACACGGACAACAACAACAACGACATCAGCATGGCAAAGTGCGTGACAAACAAGCCCAGCTGCAAGCGTGCGGTAGAGCCGAACCCTCTGCTGTACAAGGCTGCAGCGAGGAACCTTTGCGAGTACCACGGTGTCCCCTCAATGACGGCGGGCGGCCTGGAGAAGACCATGGTCCTGCTTCAGCTCCGCCCCGGCCGCCTCGTGGCGCAGGGACTTGCCCCAAAGCAGCTCCTCGAGGGAAAATCAGCAGCTGGCGACGCTGACGCGGACAACACCGACAGCAGCAGCAGCAGCAGCGGTAGCGGATCCGAAGTCGACCCAGAGCAAGCGGACAACAACCAGGTCTCGGACGACTCGAACACCAACAGCAGAGACGGCACCGACATCGAGCACGACCACGTTGCCACCCAGGACAGCATCGACATCGAGACCGGAGCCAGCAAGCACCCCATCCACGCGGTCTTTGTCGCCGCAGGCGTCCAGCTCCGGCCCCGCGAAACCAGGCCGTTGCTCCGTGCGCTCGGCATAGAACCTCACCGCCTAGTCAAGCTCGGGCTCGTTCAGCGCGAAGAGCTTCGGCGGTCGAGGCCTGGAGGCAGGCGGGGTGGTCCTCCTCACCAGCAGCCCGGTCGCCCTGGAGGTCGTGGCCACCACCACCACCGCGGCGGTCGAGGCATGGGTAGGCCTCGCGGCCCCCATCCGCATGACCCTCCCCCGCACCGCCATGGCCGCGGCCACGGCCACGGCAGGCGTCCTGGCCACGGTGATCACCGCCGCTGGTCCAGCCCTACCCCCGGAACACCCCGCGGACCGTTCGAAGAATACGGTGGGCTGCACCTGCTCCGCGGACCTGGCCACCACCACCACCACCACCACCACGGCGGCGAGAGCGAAGGAGAAGAAGAAATGGCGATGATGCAAGCCGGGCCGCGCGGTCCTGCCCGTGGAGTGCCCCCCCCTCCGCACCTACGCAAACAACACGGCGGTTCTCGTCCCCACGGGATGCCCATGCACGACCGCCAAATGCACCCCCACCACGGACCCGGCCACCACCACCACGGCGGCGGCGAGAGCGAAGGAGAAGAGGAAATGGTGATGATGAATGCTGGGCCGCGTGGCCCTCCCCACGGAATGCACCCCCCCAAGCACCTACGCGAACAACACGGCGGTTCTCGTCCCCACGGGATGCCCATGCACGACCGCCAAGTGCACCCCTTCCGCGGAGTTCGCAGCTTCCACGGCGAGGGCGTACACAGCGGCGGGGGTGAAGGAGAGCGTGGTCCTGGAATGCACATGGGCCCAGGTCACCGCGCCCACCCTAGTCGCCACCCGGAACACCACGGCATGCACCGCCTGGACAGCGACGGAGACGCCGCCGGTACTGACATGGGCCATGGCCCCGTTCCTCTCAGGGCAGGACGGCACCACCACCGCAGCCCCGTCGGTCTACACCAGGGACTGCACGGCCCGCCCCCCGGCCCGCCGGGCATGCGGGGCGGAATGCGGTGCGAGGACTTCGGTGACGACTTCCACCCCCGGCAGCATCAGCATCAGCGCCAGCACCAGCAGCACTTGCAGCACTTGCAGCAGCAGGGAAGAATGGCGGCGGGCCCTGGCCACGTTCACCCATGTCACGAGAGCCCTGCCCCCCCACTGATGATGCCGATGCAGGCCTACTGAGAATAACAAGCACCGTGATCTACGGCTGGTCGAACGGTGTGTTGCTGCTGAACAGAAAGCTACGACAAGGCAGCAGCATTGACCTGGAGTAGAAAGTAGTTGTTCGGTGGAAGAACGAGAGACGGTAGTGTTTCGCTTGATTTGTTTTTGACGTGCTCGGAATTCGTATTTCTTTATTTGCAGTTGGGCAGAAGCCTCCCTCGGAAAAACTGATACGAGGGACACGGTACACACCTGTACGTGGTACGGAACGTTCTAGAAGGCCTCTGCGCTATTGCAGCCGTAGTGTAGTACGTTGTGTGTGCTTGAAGAGTTTTTGCATTCCTATGTTGTGTGTGTTTTTTAGTGGGTGTACACGACCAGGTGTTAAGTGTATATTTCTGCCCCCTGACGAACGTCTTTGCTCTGGGTAGCGTTGGCAAATGTGTTGTCGCAGGTAGCAGGCGTGAATTGTCTCTATTGGCAATCAAACGGTGAATTTATTTTGGTTCGAGCGTTGCTAAAACGGTGATGCACTGAGGAGGAGGGGGGTGCTCGCCCCTGGGTGATATATTGTGGTTTTTGTGTGTTGCGGAAAGAGGTTGTAGCGGGGTGAGCCTCGTTGAGGGTCGGAATGGATATTTTCATTTGTTTTTGTGTGAACGGTGTGTTGCATGTCGTCGGAGGCCGCTTTCAACAGTAGAAATAGTTGCGTTGCAGGCGGAAGGGGACACACAGAAGGAGAGTAGTGCAGCCACATAAGCGCTGGTAACACATGTCTTAGCGGCAAGGCGTACGTGCGTGTCGTTGTCTGCAGTCCTGCCTGCGTTATGTAGCTGCAGCGGGCAGCACCGAGTCTGCCGTGGTACCGTTGTAGGCAGGATGATTGTCTGAAACGTATTAAACGGTCACGTGATGCAGGCTGCAAGTAGGTGTGCAGTGCCAAGTCTTGCGGAGTGCTGCTGATGGTGATGCACCCGACAAGAAAAAAACAAAATACAGCAGTGGCTTCGATTTCGGAGTCCACAAAAAAAAAAAACACCCGGTGGGTTTTTCCCACCACCCTTTTGAAAAAGAAAATGCCATAATTCCGACGAGGAATTGCCTTCGTGTATCGTGCTGATGGACATCAGATCAACGGTGTCGAAGTCGAGGCAGATCGAGCTGCAGTTGCTCTCTATAGTACCATGCGACGTAACCAGTCTACACATGCGCGTCGTGTCTTCGATTGAGTGAGGTGTTCGGATGTCCAAGAGAACATGAAAATACTTCACACTTTTGCTTTAGTGGAATTCATGCGACGCGTTGATGTGTGATCTTCATAAAAGATTGTTTGACCACCGCACGCGAGTGCTCTCATTTTTGTTGTGCCTTCCAGTAGCAACCACCAACGACACAACTAGGGGTGACTGGAAACACCCCCCAGCTACACAACTCGCAGATCGATGTTGAAATGGCTGACCCCAACTCCCGAGCTGTAGTCACATGTTTCGGGTTAGCTTTACCTCGCCCACGCGGGTTGGTGGGCGGTTCAACCCCATTATGGTACCAGGTTTTCGACACTCACCGCGTGCATTGCGCTTCATGAGACTCTATCCCCATATAACATGCACATATCCCACTCGACGGCAAACAGTCTGATTCTTGCCACGTGCTCTCCACAGCAGATCAAGCATGCCTCACGCCGCAGATTACGATTGGTTCAAGATCGGCTATCCCAAGGCAGATTATACGAACGACGTTGCGCGTGGGCATGGACTCACTCCCCAGTCTTGAAAGAAAGAAGTACAACCTCTTGCAGCGAACAAAACTCGCGAGATATGAAACACACAATGCTACAAAGAACGAAGGTGGGCAATGTCTGTACAACAGCTGATGAGTGTCGGCACGAAAAGCGAAGGCAAGAGTTAGAACGACCGGAACACACACGGAAACATCTCACGACACGAAAGACAGAAAGTCCGAATCCGAGTAAACCAAGTAAATACGAGCACTAAGCACAAAGAAAGCAACAAAACTGACGATGAGCTACCGGACGCAGCAGCAGGAACAAGCACAGCACGCAGTGTAACGCAACAATTTAAGAACGAGGCCGATCGCGGTCCCCACCTCCACCCCATCTAGCGTCGACAATTACCTGTCGTCGGAGGGAGGTTTCAAGCCTGGCTTGTGGTGACCAGCTCGACATCACGGTCAATAACAACTGGGCTCAGTAACTATCTATCCGGATGTAACACAGCGAAGTGGGGGTGCTTAGCACGACTTCCCGGAGTCAGGAAGGCCCACCTGTTCCTCGTACTGGCCGCCATAGTTACCCCTGGTCAAAAATAACGTAAGAGGGCAACAGGTGGAACGAACAGAATGAGGTGGGGAAACCATCACGTTCCACACAAAACCAGAAGGTGCACAGGTACTGTAGGCGCTGACAACAGGTGACACGCACCTTGCGGAAAACATCCGTCCAGTCGATACTGCATTTCCATCGGCCGCCGAAAACAGGAGTGACATGCTCCCGTGCAATCCAATTTATCCATTCTCCTGCACTGCAAAGCATCACAGTTCTGAGGATACGGCAGAGATGTTGCCACAGTACGTGACACCTACATACTTCTAGTAGTTCATGAACGTGCATCCATTCCTTCGACGAGGGACAAGCAACAAACACCGATCTCGTCACTTACGGTGGGTCGTACTGGCACACGAGGAACATGTAGGGGGTTCCGCCGTTGGTGCACCGCGCCACGACGCATCCGACTTGCTCCGTAGACTTCCACAGGATCTGGGTCGCGTGACCACCGTACTGGAGAACACTGTCGGACTGGACTTCGTCGTAGTCTGTTGACGCACGTTGGGGGGAAGGAGAGAAGGGGGAGGGGGGTTAGGATATGCATCGTTGCCCAGCAGCTTTCGGAAGACGAGATACGGGCATACGTGGGGGGGTTGTCAGGTCCGCGACACAGAAAGAGGAGGGCGCGCCGCGTGTGGCGCATAACATGCATACTGCATATGTCCTCACTGCTCCCGCTCATCGTCAAGCGACAAGGGCCCAGCAAGCGCGCACAGCAACACTTACATAGTCCCTCCATCGCCCTCTCGTGCGAGTAGCACGAGTCCGACCCCCAGCACATGTACAGGTTCTCGCCGTAGCCGTACCGCTGTTCCTGAGTGCTGTGGAACAGGTTGGAGGAGCACTGGGCCGTGAGCCTCTCGGCGTGTTCGGCGGCGGAAGATGCCACCGTGCTGCTCCACGTGAGAGGGTCCGCGTTGTGAACGCACCTGGACGTCGTATACAGGTGGCGGGGTGGAAAGGAAGGGAAAACGTCGGAATTATCGCACTTGTGTTCCTGAAAGCGCCAGGTAGTGGACAGAAGTGGTACTGCCTTCCAAGCAGATTTAACACTGGGCGATATCTGTGCACTTAAAACGTATGTATGCACCCACCTATCTTTAGATGAGAGTCAATTCACCCTGGCAATGAAACGAAATACCTCCACGCGTGCATGTGCAACCTTTTCAAATCACAACACCACAAGCGTTTTTGAGACAAGACCGTCCTCTTGGTGTTGTGTTCTGGTTCTCACCTTGCTTCGTTGTGCAGGTCAACGAGTTCCGTCATGTCAGCGGGCGTCGGCGAGCCGGGAGTCGGCGCGGTAGGGGGCGCGACAGGCTCCTGGGTTACGGGGGCGGGCGTTCGCGGTGCCACGGGCATCGGAGTACGGGGGACCACAGGCTTCTGGGTGACGGGGGCGGGCGTTCGCGGCGCCACAGGCATCGGAGTTGGAAGCGTCACGGGCATCGGAGTACGGGGGACCACAGGCTCCTGGGTTACGGGGGCGGGCGTTCGCGGTGCCACGGGCATCGGAGTACGAGGTGCCACCGGCATTGGAGTAGGAGTCGCGGGCATCGGAGTAGAGGGTGCCACGGGCATGGTCGGGGTGGGTTCCACCGGCATGTGTGGCGACGGTGTCGGCAGCGACCTCGCCGGTGTCGGGGGGGCTGTCATGGAGTACCCTCCGTCGTCTGTACCCAACACGTGGACAAAAGAGAAAAACACGCACGGCGGACAAAAGGGACTTCGTTGAGAGGTTGTGCACGAAAAACGTACTATTTTCATCAACGAAGATGAAGGGTTGCTACTGCTGTAAAGCGCGCAAGAACAACAAGAGAAGAACGCACTGTTATATCAGGTCGGAATGACAGCACCGGTGAACAAAAAACAACGAGTGACCGTGGAACCAGGACCCACCGTCCGTCATGGTCATGGTGCTGCTAGTAGGGGACGAGGTGGGCGCTGATGACGGCCCCCCCGTCGGGCCCCACGTGAACGATGTCGAGGGCGCGGCCGACAGGTTCGGGAAGCCCGTAGGCATCGGGAAGCCGGTCGACGACGCCGTTGGTGATGGCGTCACGGAGGTCGAGCTATCGTCCCCTCCTCTGAGGGAGTACAGGTCGAAGGCCCACTGTCCACCTGGTGTCGATATGGCGGTACAGCAGTAGCGCGAAGAGCGGGCACACGGGAGGGTGGATACAATTGATCCAAGACACGGTCGCCCATGATGGATGGCCTTCTTAGAAGGGACATGGACAGTGATACACACTAGCGCGGCTTTCGGTAAGGAATCACTCGTACCGGTGGTGCGGCATACGACGGCCGCGGTGTACAGACCATTTGTCATGAAACGGCCGCCACGTCGTCAATGGACACGCATCACCATACGAAACGGAATCGAAAAAAGGTGTACTCTACTCCACACATGCTCGATCGACACTTTTAGTCCCTACAACCATATTATGGAGGGAACGTGAGGGCGGGGGGCGGGAGGGGGGGGCGAGGCTTACCGCAGTTGCCGTCGCGGTCACCGTAGCACCCGCACGCGCATTCTCCGGTGCCGTTCAGCGTGTATTCTTCTTCCTGCCCAAAGCCGCACGAGCACTGGAAGCCATACTTGAGGCCCATGAAAGTCGCACCCTCGTCGGTGCAGTGCATGTAACAACGCTGAATGCGTAGGCAAGGGATGGGCGGGGATGGACAATGCGGGAGAAAACAAGGATGTTAACGATGAACACGGCGTTTGTGGGCATGCGGCATAATCATCAATGAACGGGAGAACAACGAGCGCGGTCCTGTGAAGGCATCATGTATGTCAATGAAGATTACTAACACGAGCGATCAACCAACTTGTTGACTTACGGAGGAGCTCATTCAATCCGCCATTTTCCCCGCGACAAAATAATCAAAACTGAAGGGACCAAAATCACAAGCATCAAGGTGTCGGGGGCCCGACTCAATAACTGTGCTCTCTCACGTCAATGGTGAAGTCCCCGGAAATAAACCCAAACTCGAGCAGCGGGCTTTGCTCATCATCTTTGAAGCACCCCACGTACAACTCCTGGGGGCTGTAGTCGCTGCTCTCCGAATCGCTGCTTAAGTCATCCGAGTCGTGCAGGCGGCGCTGCAGGTAGAGACCAAGCGATGGGGGAGGGACAGACGGGGGCGCGGGACCTTTCGGATTGTATTCCATTTTTCTTGTCGGAGTTGTTGAGGAATGCATACAAGCGTCGAAGACTATTACGTATGTACAGCAGTATTATGAGACATGCTAGTTTTCAGCGTTCACACTCAAGTTATAGGAGAACCGACACCTGAAGAATTATTGCTAAAAAGAGTCAATGAGATGGATAGCGTTTCTTTAGATTGCTTGAAATTATCAGACCGAATAGTTAAAGCCTTAAAAAAGGCTAATATTAATTATACTTGGAAATTAATGGATTATCATCCATCTGGTCCGCCTTATTTAATCGATATAAAAGGTTTAGGGCCAAAATCGGTAGCAGAAATAAAAAAAAGCTTACGTCTTTTTTACGAACCACCTAATTAATTCACTCAATAATTTACGCAATTGGAATTTTTTAATCATATTTAACGTTATTCTATAATTTAATATTAGTACTATTATTATGAAAGATACTTTTGTTCCTTCGAAGCTTGATTTAAAACAGCAATGGTATATAATTGATGCAAAAGATAAATGTTTAGGTCGATTGGCGACAAAAGTTTCTATTATATATTTTATCAAATAACCATTTACGGTTAAGGAAAGTATATAACTTACGACCTAATATAGAAGTTTTAAAAATAAATAGATTACGACTATAATTTCTATATAAAATAAATGAAGTAAACCCTCCTAAAATACTAAAGCAAAGAGGTAAAGTGTTGAAATGCTCCCGTTCGGAAGCAAGTGCATAACCTACCGTCGCAGTGTTTGTGCTACTTGCTCGATCGCTCGCTCATACTCACGCTAGCTTGTCTTGGCGGCGGTGCTGCGCTGGTTGCACGTTGGACGATGGCGGGAGAAGAATCCCCAACGTTTGCGGCCCTGAGGTTCGAAGCGATGACGGCGTGGGCCAGCGCAAGTATCACCACAACCACCGCCAAAGTCCTCGACATTGTCTGGGGGGAGGATATTGTAACGAAGGGAGCAGGGAGTTAATGTGCGTTGTATGTTTTATTCGCCAGAGTAAACCATAGTAGTATTGTAGTACTGCCCGCATGAAGCAACACTGAAGATTTGGATACTCTGTACGCCTTCCCGTTCGTCGAAACACCAGCGAACTTTTCGATCCGTTCGCAAATTGCGACCGATACGATAATGCGAAGCGAACAAAATAAAAAGGGAAATGGACAAAAGTGGGTATACCCACCCCTTTCTCGGACAAAAGTGGGTACTCGAAAATCCAGCTCGCGCGCAGTCCATGTGCGACCCCCACACGACTCAAAACCCCATTCTGGCACCAGGGCGACATAGCCAGGGACCATACACAGCACGGGCATCGATTTTTTTCCACTTCCAGGCACACCTTTGGCCCTAATACCGCCGCGGCGCGCAAGGCCTCAACAGAGTGCCCACTTCTGTCCGACATCGTGGTGGGTATACCCAGCGGCTTCTACTAATTTTTTCATGTACCCACTTGTGTCTATTTTTTGACCCACTTTTGTCCAAATTGTACCCACTTTTGTCCACTTACGGACAGCGGAAACCGAGCGGAAATCGACCTCCACGTCACCGCACGGCAGAACATCGAATAGCCTCGGAACGTCTCAGAACCTCCCAACACCGTTTCCATGGCATCTTTCGTATCCTGGCTGCCGACTGCGGACCGACCGCGGAGGAACATGTCAGAAACATGCCAGACCCCTTCGGTACAGGCACGGGAAAATATACGATACCCGGCACAGCTTGCCGGCGGTACCTTCCCGACGGGAAGATACTGCCGGCAAGCCCCGCCGCCGGCAAGCACGGCATAATGCGTGACACACAACGGACAACAAAACCAACGGGTCGCGCATACAGAACAAAAAGACGCGCATCCATACAGCAACACCACCACACACGCACACAACACACGACGAGTGCACACCGACTCGCGAGGGCAGCAGTAGCATGTC